ATTTATCTTATAAGTAAATAAGCTTACCTTATGAGTTTTTCCTAATTTTGAAACTTTTTTAAAAGCATAGCCTTGATCTTCAGTATTCATAGCACTACATGTTCTATCAAATAGGGATGATGTAATATGACTTTTGAGGAAAGACACCAGATTGAAATATTATTTTCCCTGGGTTTTCATTGAATCTCACCATTTGGTGAGGAGAACATTCTATTTGTCTCAGATTAGTAGACTGATGTAGAAAACAATTTTTATAGAAAATTGTTTCCTATTAATTATAAGACTATGAATCTTGAAAAATCCTAATCAGAGGGCAGTCATTTTTATCTGCCTTGTTTACTGATATATCTAGCCACTTAGAACAGTGCCTTTGTGGGTGTTTAATAAATATTTAATGAGCAGGACATAACGGTTCATATCTGTAATTCCAGCACTTTGGGAGGTCAAGGCAGGAGAATCACTTGAGCCCAGGAGTTTCAGACCAGCCTGAGCAACAGAGTGAGACCCCATCTCTACATTTTTTTTTTTTTTTTTGAGACGGAGTCTCACCCTGTCACCCAGACTTGGAATGCAATGGCATGGTCTTGGCTCACTGCAACCCCTGCCTCCCAGGTTCAACAATTCTCCTGCCTCAGCCTCCCAAGTAGCTGGGACTATAGGCATGTGCCACCACACCTGGCTGATTTTTTGAATTTTTTACTAGAGACGGGGTTTCACTATGTTGGCCAGGATGGTCTTGAACTCCTGACCTCATGATCTGCCCATGGCGTGAGTCACCATGCCCGGCCAATAATTTTTTTTTTTTAAATACCCAGGTGTGAACCCCTGACCTCATGATCTGCCCGTGGCATGTGTCACCATGCCCGGCCTACAATTTTTTTTTTTTTTTAATACCCAGGTGTGGTGGTGTGTACCACACCTGTAGTCCCAGCTACTCAGGAGGCTGAGGTGGGAGGATTACTTGAGCCTGGGAGGTTGAGGCTGCAGGGAGCCATGATCATGGCACTGCACTCCAGCATGGACAATGGAGCAAGACTCTGTTAATCTATCTATCTATCTATCTATCTGTCTGTCTATCTATATGTTTTGTTCATTCAAACATATATATATGTTGTTTCTGAATGAACAAATTTCTACCATACTTTCTCATTGATAAGTGTAGCTTTTTTATTCTCCTAATTGACCTTTAATCTGACACAACAAAGAGCACTGTTGTGTTTTGGGGTATTTAATCTTTAAGTTTTTCTTTTTCTCTATGAAGCATGGTAATAATTTTCTTCAGCACCTTGATGAAAATGGTTTGTGCCTTAGGAACATATGCCTTTATCCCTACTCCCTGCCTCACCCACACACACTTCAAATATGTATAGCTATCTACATTATACTAATCTTTGTATTTAAATGTAATACTAAAAATAACACAGAATCATGGGTCCCTTATTTTCAAAGGGAGTTTAGAAATCACCTGGTTTAACTCTCTCATTTTAAGGTTGAGAAAACTAAAGCCCTGAAAGATGATTAGCTCAGGGACACTGCTAATTAATACAGGTACCGAAACTAAAACCCAGGTATTTGACTCCCAGTCAATTGTTATTTCCACACATGTTACAAATAATCCTTTCTGGGGAAGGCTTTTTTCCAGTTAAAACACTGATTCACCATCATGATACCTTCAGACAAGTATTCGTTACTCAAACTTAAAAAAAAAAAAAGGAAAAAGAATGTTGCCCCAAACATAAAGAATAAACACATTTTAAGAGCCAAAGACTCTTTTCTGCCTATTTTTTTTGTTTTGTTTTGTTTTGTTTTGTTTTGAGAAAGAGTCTTGCTCTGTCACCCAGGCTGAAGTGCAGTGGTGCGATCTCAGCTCACTGCAACCTCTGCCTCCTGGGTTCAAGCAATTCTCCTCCCTCAGCCTCCCAAGTAGCTGGGATTACAGGCACGTGCCACCAAGCCCAGCTAATTTTTTGTATTTTTAGTAGAGATAGGGTTTCATCATGTTGGCCAGGGTGGTCTTAAACTCCTGGCCTCAAGTTATCTGCCCACCTTGGCCTCCCAAAGTGCTGGGATTACAGGCATGAGCCACCTCGCCCAGCCCAAAGACTCTTGAAGAACCTGTTCTTCTCAGATTGCTAAAGCAGGGAATACTGACATGTCTGTCAATAGATATAATTTATATTAGCATAATCTCTTCAACAGATTAGCATTTTACCATAAAATAATTAAAATTGGGGTTAACATTTTGAATTTCATTTGAAAGCAAATTGACTTCTGAATAGTGAAGTACAGATATTAGTGCAGATTATTCTCAGTTGCTAGTATGCAGACTCTTGGATTCTGTTGCTGTGTCTATACAAGCTAATTCACTAGGCAGTTGAGGACTTAGGTGGTTATCTAGATAACTTAAGGTAAGGATCAATCTGAATACTAAGCCGTATGTTATAATAGCACTAATTTTATATTAAAAATACTTTAACCGTAGTAATCTTATATTTCAGGTAAAAGTAGTAGTTTTTAGCTATATTAACTGATTGTTTTGTCTTCTAGTGCTTTAATTGTGTAAAGATTAGAGTTTATAAGCGGTTTTCTATTTCTGATTTTTTTTTTTTTTGGCCTCCAAAAAAACATACAAATTTGAACTTCTTAAAGGAGGACATATAAGAGCAATAAATTGACTAAAAACAGAATCTGTCTTTTTCTCTCGATCTCATTTTGTAGTAACCTGCAGGTTCCCAGCTAGCACATACACTGACTCTTCCTCACAGCAGCTCCTTCATAGGGCCTCAGTCAGGTAGGAAGGTATAGACAGTTCCATTAACAAACACTCATTCACAATGCCATCCATTTGGGGAAAAAAAATTCTCCTTTCACATATTCCATTAAATAAACACTATATCATCTTCTTAGGTTCAGATCAACATGCAAATCTCAAGTGTTCTATTTCAAGTGAGGCACTTCTAAATATTTATCTCAACATTTGGTATTTAGTAATATTTTTCACATAATTTTACCTTGTATTCTACTTCAGAGCGGTTGTATTACAGACAAAAATTATTAGCAACCTATTTTTATGTCTCCATGTTTCAAAAACTAAATTGATACTATATTTTGAATTAATGACTATGTCATAAAACATCATTTTGTAAAAGAAAGACAGCCATTACAAAACCAATGACACAATATTTATTAAATTTTTTAAATGAGTCCAGAATTAAAAAGACAGCTTCATAGGTGAAATTAGGTGATTTATAAAGGAAAGAGAAAATAACAGAGAGTGTGTGAATATTAAAATAAGCTTCCAGTTACTAGTTGACAGTACATAACTAACTTACCAGTTTACGGTACAGTTTAAAATGATAGAGACAACTTAAATATGTGAAAACTAAACATTTTAAAAATCAACTTTGTTAAAATTGGAAAATCTACTTAAGTTTTATCAAGTGGAGGTGACAGTGCTACCTGAATAATCTGTTTCTGTCCATATAAAATGAACTGCTGGGAGCACATTTACATATAAGAACACAGTGAGCGAAAAGCAAAATTGCTCGCTTAATTGTGAAGTTCCTTTTGTTGGTTTGTCAGACTCCACAAAAGATACGATAGGAAAAATCTATACAGCATTAATTAGGATTTTATTTTTTAGAGGCTCCTTTTAAAACAGCTCTGGAAAACATGAGTAGCCATGTCCTCCAAGCCTAATTTCTAAAAATATTTGTAGAAAATACATTCTACATGTAGGATTTAATTCTGTAATGCACTATAAATGTGATTTCCCCAAATCTTTGTCTACTTGCTATATATTCTTAATTCATATTAATTCATTCTTAATATCTTAATAACACTCAACCCTTTAGATTTGATATTTGCTTATATTACATGTAAGGAGCATCTTACATTTAAGTAATTATATGTTGAGACATAATTAAAATTATAATCTTTCTGTTGTTTCTAGAAAAATAAATCAAATTTTAAATAATTTAATAAACTTATAAAATTTTGGTGCCTAAGTCTGGATGATCAAAATGGTCTCTTTTTACCTAAACATTTCACTACAATGTTGCTTTTAGGGTACTTTTCAGACAATTTCCAGACTGACAGATTCAGTACATCTTAGGAGCCTCTGACTCATCCAGCAACATAAATTAACTTGACTTTTAATATAAGACCATTTTTTTTCTTGTGTTAAAAATATACACTTCATAATCAACTAGGGTCAAAATATGCAAAGAAATTTCAACTTTAAAATTTGTAGCCAATTTTTTTTTTTTTTTTTTTTTTTAAGAAATGAAATCTTAACTGTGTTGCCCAGCCTGGAGTGCAGTGGCTATTTACAGGCATGCTCATCATGCACCACAGTCTCTTAACTGTTGAACTCAAGCAGTCCTTTGGCCTCAGCCTCCTGAGTAGGTGGGACTATAGGTGTGTGCTGCCACACCCATAGAGTCCATTTTGAACTATAAGAAACCCATGATGAGGAAAAGCCAAAGCTTTTTTGACTACAGATGACCCTTGGAAAAGAAATTTATTTATCATTATAAACAAAGATATAAAAGATGAAATTTGGCAATTTTAAAATTATTAAAGGAATTGATAACGACACCAAACAATTCAATCAGAAGTATCTATTTAGAACCTAATAACATAGGCAGTAAGCTGCATCCAGAGGTCCTTTTCAAGATTAAATTGCCTGCTGCTTAACCTTATATTTTGCCACTAGATATTATTGCCTTAATAATTCACATTTTTAAAAGATGTTGCTATAGTTACTTTAGTCAGCTTTTATGTTTTTACATTTTCTTTGGAAAATTTTCTAGATAATCTACAAAATAAATAATGGGATGGTAATTTTTCTTAAAAGTATTTATTATACTGAAAGCAGCCCAGAGTACATTGATTTGTGATTTGATTAATTCTAAAATTTTTAAGTAGTTTATTTTCAGATCTGTATTTTACATTGTACTGTTTTTTGTTTTGTTTATTTGTTTGTTTTACTTCAATAGCCTTTTATGTCACCTCGGTACCCTGGAGGTCCAAGGCCCCCATTGAGGATACCTAATCAGGTAAGATTTATGTGCTATTTAAGTTTTTTGTAAGAATCAAAGATCTTGAAAATGTCACATATGTTTATCATCCTTTATAGATAAAAAATTTTCCTTTTTCTGTCCCATTTAATGCTATTTCTAGTCATATATCATCTGCTTCAAGGGTTGGCAAACTACAGCTCATAAGCTAGCTACTTTTTGTAAATAAAGTTTTACTGAAAAACATCCACACAGATCCATTTATGTGTTGTCTGTGACTACTTTTACACTACAATACAGATTTAAGTGGTCATGGCAGAGACCATATGTGGCCAGCAACCCTGAAATATTTACTATTTGGATCTTTACAGAAAAATGTTTGCCCATTCTTGGAGTCTACCTTACACTTTGAACCTAATTTTAAAAACTTGTACAATTTTGGTAAATGCTGATTATCCTCCCATTTAAAGAATGGCAATAAAATTTTCCATGAACATACTTTTGTTTACTTTCATATAATATAGTTTCAATATCATGATTCTAGCATTCATATAAATTTTACCCAATTATAATGGCAGATTAAGCAAATAGTTAGCTGCTTCTGGAAGAGATAGATCTGTTAATAAGTAAATATTTAACAATAAAAATCTTCCAACATTTTAATCTACAAGAGCTCTAAAATTTCATAATGTTTTGTTCTCAAATAGCTTTTTTTTTAAATATCATAAGTATTTATTTACTGAAGAGAATAAAATACAATTTTTACTCACAAAGAGTTTGTAGTTTAGTTTTAGGATATAGGCACTGTGCATGTATATAACCCGAGAAGAAATTAAATGCTTAACACTATGGAATACTTGTGTCAAGATAATTGTCTTGTCACTTTCTCTGATTCTGTTATTTGTATACCTAGCTTTATCCTATGTTTAAAGTAAACCCTGTTATTACAGTAAATTCTCTTTTTCATTCATATTCTGTTTCCATTTCCACTTTCTTCCCTACCAAAAATGGAACAAGAAAGTTAAAATTACTAATTTGCTTGACAGCAGCAGAATTCTGCTTCTCCTCTCCTAACTCTTACTGAAATTATGCTGTCTTTGAGGTGTCTCAATCTGCTGGTGCTCTCTGCTTGTAGTGCACAGCAGAAAGTGCCAGCACCCAGATTCACCCCTAGGGGAGAACTTTCAGTAGGAAGCAGTGCTGGGTCATCTCATGATGACAGTGCTTGGCAGTCCTCCTCACATTAGCAGCTGGAGCATTTTTCTCCTATAGAGTGAATCTGCATTCAGTACGCCGGGCCAGGGGAAGATGGCATGAAATAGGAAAGGGAAGTGCACAGATGCCAAGTGTTACAACATATGGGAATTTTATTTTCTCTGTGGGTAAACCTGTATATATTGACAGTCAGATCTACTTATATAGGTGCCTGAGTCTTTTAAATTTCTCTTTAAAGAAATGTGCATCTCTTATTGGAGGCTTCATGGCTTTTTAGACATTCCATCCATAGCTTTGTATATTATATAAGTCTAGGAAGTTCCCAAAAATCTGAATTGGGAAAATGTGAAATTGTAGTATAAGTGTGTTATTAGAATTTTCGACCTCATATATTATATATCAATGATGAAAATGTGATAAAATTATTAGCATTGCATTCAAGTGACATTATTGAAATGCCTGCCACATGTAAGATACTATCCTAGGTTCCATATCCTAGGTTCCGTAGAGACTAACAAAATAAACACTTTCAGGATGAGGTTGGTGGTGGGAATGTGAAATTGTAAACCAATCTAGGTTGACAAATTTTAAGAACAGGTATTTAATGTCTTTGAGTTTTTAAAAGAGACAATTAAAAAGTTAAAGATAGGCCAGGCGCGGTGGCTCACGCCTGTAATCCCAGCACTTTGGGAAGCCGAGGCAGGTGGATCACGAGGTCAGGAGATAGAGACCATCCTGGCTAACATGGTGAAACCCCGTCTCTACTAAAAATACAAAAAATTAGTCGGGTGTGGTGGCGGGTGCCTGTAGTCCCAGCTACTCGGGAGGCTGAGGCAGGAGAATGGCGTGAACCTGGG